TTTGAAATTAGAAATGTAATCGTAAAAAGTAAAACATAATATATAAAAATGAAAAGAAAAACAGTAAAATTTCACCAAGTATGAAGAAAATTGAAGAGGCATCGTTGGTAATATATTATTCCACTAAAGAAGCTTTCTGTAAAAAAAAAAAAGATTAACTGCAATCCAGGAACCAACATTTGGCATGATATGAGTCTACAAAGTAAAAGCATTGTTGGTTCAAGACAAGTTTACTCTGCAGACTCATATCATGCCAAATGTTAAAGACATATCTACAGAGTAATTTGGCTATCAAGACAAAAAGATAATTATTAGTGGGGGCATTGAAAGAGTGTTTCTATAACTGGCACTTTCTTTGCTTACATGTCTTTTGCTTGGTTTAACCGAACTGGCTAAAAATTTCCACATTCCTTCTTCATAAGTGTACAAAGTAATGAAAACCAGAGAAAGTATATAAAACTGTCGAATTAATCTTTAACAAAAAAAAAAAAATGTCGAACTAATTCAAAAGGTATTACTAATACTGCTTGATTCGTTTGTGTATTTGTGAAAAAAAAAAAGTCAGAATCAAATATACACGAATTTTCACCAGAGTCGTTGTGGTCGTACCTTAAGTGTCTGGAACGTGAAGTGGTCGTAGCAGATCTTCTCATTATCCACCGACTGAACAAGTTCCCATATCGTGTTTGCCGTCGGATTCTTCCTCAGGTACGTCTTCAGAATATTCTCAAAAACATTTCTAAGAAATGTTTCACTTCCTCCCTGTTACATGGAAATTATGTATTATCTTTAAGTATATATTTTTTTTCCATCAAATAAATCAAAGTATGAGAAATAACCTTGAATGAAGAGGACTGAGGCAAGTCGATGGAACCCATGGAGAAAAGTCTTTGAGTTGTGTCTGAGAAACTGAGCCTCGCTTGATTGTGCTTATTTATTCTTGAATTAACAAAGACCACAGGAGTCACTATATATTCTTAGTTTTTTGTTTGGCCAATGATACAAGAGAAATTTCAAAAAATGCCACTTTTCAAGTGTTATTTTACAAAAATGCCACACTTTTGAAATCTTTACAAAAATGCCACTTTTTCAAAATTATTTGTTCTTTATATCATATATTTTTGTGTTTATTATGTTCTATTAGGGTGTAGTTATGAGGGTTTATGGGGTTTTAGGGTCAAAACATTTTTTAGAATTTACAATTTTAAGATATATGTTTTATAAATCTATAATTAGTGGCATTTTTGCAAATGAGCACCCCTAAGTGGCATTCTTGTAAATGTGCACACAAAAAGTGGTATTTCTATAATTGTCCTATGATATAATCTATTTTACCTAAGCTTTCGGTTAACCAATTGCGTCGTATTTATTATTTGAATAGACATTTGGTGAAAAAGTCATATGTGTCAGTCAACGAAAGTTTTAAGGACACTACATCAATTAAATTAATCATCAAACATTTCAATTAAGTCTATATGCAATGTTAGAAATCTCTACATCTTTACATTATTTTTTTACATGAACTCACAAATACATGTGTTACAAATTTAAATCCAACTAAAATGTAAAATTTAATATTT